CGAGTTTGCCTAACACAACCCTGTCAGCACTGACCGTACCAACTGACATTTGTAGAGAGAGTCCAACCTCGGATCCAAAAATGTCTGAACTATAAGACAAGTATGTATCCCTTATAAACCAAGAGAAACAAATCAGTTACCCTTCGTCAGATTTTACGAAGACAAGCTTTACACAAAACCAAGTTGGAATACTTAATTAGCATAAAAGATGTTCATTTTTGAAAGAATTAAAAACTTATAGAAAGTATTAAATGTACATTTACTTTTAAGTCAAATACAACATGTGAGATTGTTCAAGCGATGTTTGATAATTAAAAACAGTTTAAGAATTATTCCATAATATTTGATATAATAGCAACTCTGTGACTCAATAACTAAGAACACATGAGCTGGACTTTTCTAACGACCCTGTAATCGTTCATTGGAGACTTATGTTATCCCTACAAATTGCTAATTCGTAGGGAGGCAATTTTTCAATGGCGAAACAAAATGGTTAGGATGTCTACTAAATCAAACTGGGGGTGTCGACATAATTTCTGCTGTGAGTGTAATTTCCAAAACTCATCCCCATTGATAGCATGTTGTCATTCCATCTCTCTCTATATATACAAGTTTCTTATGTATACGATTATGTTAGCAATTAGCGTAGATAATAAAAATCAGTAAATTAAATGACATTAATTATGGCCTGGTGTAAAAACCTTATGTTATATTCTCTGTTAAAAATTGAGCCTTAATAAGCAATCATGATGAAAGAAACTAACTGATTGCCTGCAGGCTTTGAAGTGGCTGTAACACACTGCGATAAAAAGCTACTAATTTTCTTGCGTTTTGCAAGCCTGAAATCTCCGTTTTGATCACGGGAAAGACCAAAGCTCGTATTTATGTACAGTGCATCGGATTGGCGTGGCAGTCACATGGATGTGTGGTTTAATGTGACTGACTATGAAATCGTTATTTATTGCAATGGTGTTATTTTCGTTGAATTTGTCGTTACTTTGAATTTATATGATGGATGATGAACAGGTAGATGATCATGCATTAAATGTGCAAGATTTATCCGCGAAATTATGCGCCGACAAAAATGGATATTTTGCAAAACAACGGAAACATAAATTTACAGTATAAAATACAACAAAAACTGGTGAAAATTACATACCTTTAATTTGTGAAATAGTGGTGATAACGTGTGTGTCCATGTCATGTTGAATGAGATCAAATCAATTAATATGATCAATACCATGATCAGATTAGATTTATCACAAGATTAAGATTATTACATAACTCAACCCATGAGAATATAAATGATAGTTATCCAATTATTGTCCATACATACATACATACATACATACATACATACATACATATGTAAATGAATGTCGAGTTTATATTCGATCGTAATGCTTTCCACTATCCAAATACGTAACGTTATGTGATTATTGTTACGAAATACAATAATATTATGACATAAATGTATTGTATTGTTTGTGTGTTCCTCAGAGTTCATTAAATTTCAGGTAATTATTTGACTTTTAAATACTTAATGAACCCTAGATAAATGCCATATGGAATATCGATTATTTTCTTTGCTTCTCGTCAGCAGTTTACTTAATTTTCTTTCTTCGGATGTTCAGACACGTGGCTGCTTCCAGGGTTTTAGAGTCTATATTGAACCAAATACTGAGACCACAAGTCATCATGATATAGGGGTTAAGATTGCTCCTCGCCATCTAAATTTTTTACATTTCTATCAAACACTCTGGATTGTCCACACTCTCCACCTAGGTATAACATTTAGGTTCTTAGCATCAATGACGAGTCTTAGGATGACGATACAGCTGTATGATGTAGCATCACTGACGAGTCCTAGAAGGACGAAACAGCTGTATGATGTAACATCACTGACGAGTACTAGAAGGAAGAAACGGCTGTATGATGTAGCATCACTGACGAGTACTAGAAGGACCAAACAGCTGTATGATGTAACATCAATGACGAGTCCTAGAAGGACGAAACAGCTGCATGATGTAACATCACTGACGAGTCCTAGAAGGACCAAACAGCTGTATGGTGCAGTTTTATTCATTGTTTCACTCTACTGTATCTAACTAACTGAAATCTTTGGTTTTGGGAACTGTTATTGTTGCTTCCTAAAACTCTATAAAACCACAAACGGATAAATTGTAATTTCGGATAAACATATGGATATTGAGATGTTTGTATATTGCATATCGCTTATCCGAAATATCCCCCCTACTGCTACAGATATAGAGGCTCATGAAACTCCCTTTCATCTCAAATGAAATAAGATTCGAAAAAGGTTTGGTAGAATACTGCAGATAGTTTTAAATTATTATCTTTATAATAAAAAGAATAAAGTTTTGTATATATATGTAATACCATTTGTGTTGTCGTCGACGACTCATCACGTGATAGATTCAAGAGGTTTAGATTTCAAACGAAAACATTATAATGTATCAGATAGAAAGCTTTAATCAAGGATAACTCACTGTATGTCTTAATATGCCACTTTTTTGATGTCAGGAGATTTACAGATATGTCAAATGATGTTAAATTCAATTAAATCCTTTCCGAGGGAAAATAAAGATGAATAATGAATTATCGAAAGCTTTAATTACAAAGTTATGGCTGTGAAAACATTTATGATATTAAACAACAAAGAAACACCACTTCTGAACAAATGCGTAGTAACACCGTCATGATCTCTGGTTTTTATTAAGTATACGTTGAATTTCGTACCTGAACATTTGTGAAACGCCAAATTTGTTCAAAAGAGGCGGAAAATATTCTCTTGTTTGTTTTAATTAAATATAAACATTTAATAACATTTTGCTATTATCAGAATATTGTCACACTGAAAGAATATTTCGTCAGTCTTTAACTCATTAGCCATACAATGAACACTTATTTTATTGTAATTTTTTTATTGTAATTTTTGTATTGTTTTACGAGTCATTGACAATGTCCCAAGGAACGAGATTTGTTTCACCATTTACGAGATTGATTTTTTCACAAGGTACGAGATTTGTTTCACCAGGTACGGGATTTGTTTCACAAGGTACGAGATTATTTTTTCACAAGGCACGAGATTTGTTTCACCAGGTACGAGATTGATTTTTTCACAAGGTACGAGATCTGTTTCACCAGATACGAGATTTATTTCACCAGGTACGAGATTGATTTTTTCACAAGGTACGAGATTTGTTTCACCAGGTACGAGATTTATTTCACCAGGTACGAGATTTGTTTAAGATTAATCGAGTATACGTTTTGAACATATTTATGTACTCTAAATTTAACGGCGTCGTTAAATTGTTACTTTCAATAAATATGACCAAAACTAGGTACAATAAAGCTACATTTGACGACATACGCAAAAGTGTAAAGGTGTAGAGCTTACAGGATACAAGGCACTGTCGAGACCAATTGAATTGAATTACAACAAAATACAACATATGTGTCACTTCACTAGCTCAAGGTAGTTCGTTGTAATACAAAAATGATATCGGATATTTTAGACTATTTTTAACACACTGAACGGCTTTTGAACGGAGTAGGTTTTTAAATACTTATTGGACAATGTTTAGGAACACATTCGAATATGTTTTAACAGTTTTGGACATATTGGACCATTTCTAACATACTGGACAGTTGATGCAAATATTGAATAGAATTTTGTTGAACATATAGGTAAATGGTTTAACATACTGAACTTTTTCAAACAAGTTTCTTGTATACTGGACAGTGTATGAACATATTGGACACTGTGTTTACACATTGGGGGTTTTAAAACATATTTCACGAACAAATTGTACAGTGTTTAAACTTATTGGACAATTTTTTTATTACTTGCAATATTCCTACGCCGTTGGAGGTTCCTGAGCTGATAACAGGTAAACCAGAAGATTTTGTCAATATCAAGAAAGCTTTTAGACTACAATGGTGTCCATGCCCAGCTCTGGAAATTTTGTCAGTACTCACCATTAAAGAGAGAGAGAGAGGGAGGGGGGGGGGGAGAGAGAGAGCCTGACAGACGGACAGAAAAACAGTCAGTCACTCAAATAACGATAGATACATGCTCAACGATATAGAGCCGTGGTCTTCCAATTTGTATTTTTCTATCTGTAAGTGCTTCAAACTGTGATAGGTTGGTCTCTCTGTATCGGCTCTGTGATCTGGAATGACTTTGCTACTAAACACTTGAAGGGGAAGCAATGAAGGCACCAGGCATCATGTTTTCGTGCCATCCCCTAGTCCCAGTAGCTGTGAGAGGGGTGGGTGCTCTACGCGTTTTATCGCAGTATTCTGTAACCTTTATCGTTTCTCCTAAGACCACTAACTACCCCACAAAGGCATTCCTAACTACAAAGACGCGATTTATACTGATCTCGTGTCACGTGATCAGCTACTCGAATCACCTGTACACCGTGTCGGTATGCCCCTTTGATGTTTTAAATCCAATTATTTGTGTGTATAAACTCCCTGCAAGACGATTACTTTCCCGCCCTCCACAGCCCAGCTAATACCAACATATAATCGCTACTATTATCTGTGTCAACAAACCTAGCTTTAGAACTACGTAGTCTGAATGGATTTAATTTTCTTTTAAACTACCCGGCTATTGATTCCAATTGGTTAGCGGCGAACATCAAAGAGAAGGCAAACTTACGCGATTGGCGGGCGGTAATTCCAAAGAGGTTTCAGTATGGGATGGAAATCGGAATCTTCTCAAGAAAAATGTTAACTTTATAAAGAACTTTAACAGTGAAGGGTGGAGATCTGTGTTGGACTTAACACTTCACAGTGAGTATATCTTACTGGAGGGATTTTACTAACTGTAGACAGGAGTGTTCACAGGTTTTTTTTCACGCCAGGCGACAAAAAAGGAGTATCGTTAGAGGTGCAGTGTTGCAGCTTCTGTTGGACCACCGTGAGAGAGCGGATGTGTATATGACTGTCTGAAACGATTCAACAACACTATGGCCACGGCTATAGCTACTCCACGTCCCCTACACTTTCATCCGGTAAGTCTTCAGTCACCCAAGGCATGGTGTTTCTGTGTTGCTTATCTTATATATATATATATATATATACGCTGGCTCCCCTTTAATTTTTTGTCTTTCTCTCTGTTTTTGTTTTGGTTTTTCTTTATTTTTATTTTAGTTGGCTATTCTGGGGATTTTTTTTCTTTTGATTTCATATTTCGCATGTTTTCTGTTGCTTTTTTGTTTGAATCTACTGACTCCTTCCTTGCTTATCTTTTTATTTGTTAATTTTTGCGGTTCCTCTCTTGCTTGTTTTCTCCTTTCTGTATTGGTGGTTCCGCGTTCTTTCCTATAAGATGGGCTCCTGTATATCTTGTTTATCATTAACCTTCTATCTGGGCCTTTCCTTTTGGTTTGGTGATTCGGTCCTTAACCATGATAAGGTATGACGTTCCATATCTGTGCACCACTTCTAGACATTCACTAATTTTATGTTCCTAATTCCATACTAATGACCTTAATGATATGCCATTTTCAGCTGTACTATTGTAAGCTAAGATGCTTACATCCATATATTATGCCATTCATTCAAGCAACTGACAAACACAATGGAATGAAATTGATCGGACAACATACAAACATATGAATACGCTCACGTTGATAATCACAATGAATATAATTAGGAGTTATTTTATAACCCAAATATATCTTACATAAATTTCTTGTCTAAAATTATAAAGTAATTTACCATCGTTTTATAAATATTTATGTTTGGTACTGGGTGTAATAGTATTTAGGAAACAGTCTCCCCTCACTGACAAATCTGTACAGCTACCTACCGGTGAACGAGAAGTAGCACAGCATTTACTCAAACGAATAACTTCATTACTGTTGAAGAACAAACATTTCTATTGTAAACAATTGATTTGTATAGTTTCCATTGGTTCATTCGTCATAACACTCTCACACATACACTTACTGTATACAAGGTAGGCAACTTCTAGTGTCAGTGACTTGTATTATTTATTAAGTAAGTTAAATAATTTGAAATTAAACGAACTATGATTTCAATGAAATCGGTGTATCAAATTATTTTACACTTTTACTTTATTCATTAAGACGAAAAACAGGAGTGTAAGATTCTAATCACAAATAAAGATATTTTTGTATTCAAACCTTTTTCCTTAACACAACGAGAAAAATAATTTTCATACATAGGCAATCGTGTGACAACATACTGTCGATAATTATGTATTACAATCGAAAAGTTTAGACCAAAATTTTGTAATAAACTAAAATATGTCAGAACGACAGGATGAAAGTAAACTTTTAAGGACATTGATGACTTACGATATAAACTAAAGTATTAGGACACCTAGTTATCATTGTAATATCATGATATAATGAACTAAGTGTGTACATGATTAAATAAGTATAGCGGGTGATTTTTCAAATGAGATTGGCTAAATAGGAATAATAAAATAGATTTAGAACTTCTACGGTAGAGTAAGTATGGCTAAAAATGCTTTAGTATTACTTCAGGACTTTAGACAATAAACTAAAATTTAAGTTTAATCGTAACTTTTCATAGTGAATCTCAATATGAGCATCAATATTAATAAGTCAATTGTAGGAATGAACCAAAATATGAGTACGCAAAAATTAATAGGAAAGCAGTAATCCAGTCAGAGTGTCCATATCAACCATAATTTACTATTTTCAATATCAACTGAAACATCATAGATACTTAATGATAAATGGATATGTTCCTTGTATATTGACCTGTTTATCTCGTCAAGTTTTTTATGATTTTCAGTTGAAACAATAGAATACAGTGTTTTGTTTTCAATAATTATCACAGCAATTTTTACGACTTTTACTTTGAATGCCGATTTCTCCTGGTTGATGACGTTGTATTGATACTATCAACTTTTGTATCTTTGCTATATACCAATGTTCATATGGAATAACGTTAGTTTTATATTAAATATATTTAAGATATGATTACAAAGTGAATAATATGTAGGAAGGATAATTTAATAGTGGACTGACTGTGTTGATACATGTAGGTGATGTATGGATTAAACCTGGGCGGCTCTGATTCATCCGTCGAAAATCGGATGATTCTGATTAGAATCAGCACAAACGATCTTTACCATGGTATTTAGGAAAATTACACAAAGGACAGGCAGGTGATTGGCACCTTTAAACACAAAGTTTGAATTAGATACAGTAGAACCAAATACTGAGGTAAACTGCATGATACAGCTGTGTTGTCCATCCAAAACCCGTCGATGTTGCTCGGGGCCTGATAGTGAAACCTAGTAGATGACAGAGGAAAATCTATTCCGAAGCAAAGTCAAACTCTAGACAGGGAGTTGGACTAATCCCGATCTTTCATTACAAGAAAACAAACTTGCTTCACTTAATAATACATAAAAAGTTTTCTATAAATTCAATACTGTAAAATAACGTTCTATAAAAAATCGCAAAAGGAAAGATATTGTATTATAATGTAATTTAAACAATAAGTGAAGTTAAAGTACTCATTCTGTTTTTGTAAGAATTAACACCAGAGAGAAGAGATTAATATAGATTTACCAATGATATACTACTTACTTATCTGGCGAGTTTCTCCAAGTGATGTTCACATCTGTAACAGAAATACGAAATGTATTAACCACTATTACATAGGTGTTCTTTTCTCCAAGTGATGTTCACATCTGTAACAGAAATACGAAATGTATTAACCACTATTACATAGGTGTTCTTTTCTCCAAGTGATGTTCATATCTGTAACAGAAATACGAAATGTATTAACCACTATTACATAGGTGTTCTATTCTCCAAGTGATGTTCATATCTGTAACAGAAATACGAAATGTATTAACCACTATTACATAGGTGTTCTATTCTCCAAGTGATGTTCATATCTGTAACAGAAATACGAAATGTATTAACCACTATTACATAGGTGTTCTATTATTCTTCTGCTTGATTACCAAAATGTTTGTGGTTTATGTAAAACAGGTATACGATTTATTGTTTGGATTTTGATACATTTTTTTTTGTGTTTTTGTTTAGATTTTCTCTTGAGTTTGATTCTGTTTATGGCTGATAGTGTACATCGAATATTTTGTCATTGTTATTCTGAAAGGATAAGAGTATGCTGGGTATTATACACCATATACTCGCAAAAGTTCCACACTTTCATTAGTTTCCATGATAGAAATAAAAGCTCACGACTTCAAAATAAAATTTATATAAACTTTGTTTCAATCTATTTGGTATTACAAATGTACATGCCAAAACACCCAAAGTCAAGAATATCATCATTGTAAGGAATTTAATTTTCTTATTTAATAAAATATATAAATCTATGTTTACACTTTTAGTTTAACCATGAAAATTTCCCGACGGTAACAAGGATGCTGAAAAGAAGGCTCGTAAACACATATAGTTCAATGGAATACATGGATAAGGTAGAAGATGCAAAATACATCCAAATGATGATAATAATTATAAAACTGCGCCATAAATATTTCGAGGAAATTTGGTACCAGGAAACAATTTAAGGCTCGAGATGTTTATGTAAATAAACAATGAGGGGCTATCGAATAGACGAATAAATAAATAATACTTACCTGATATCAATTTGTAGGTATCTCATCAATTAATCAGTATGATCAATATCAATTACATATAAAACATCTTTGGTGGCCTACACGATTAATCAGTACAATATATAAGGGAGAGGGTTGATTCACGAACCCTGAAATGTCTTAATTCATTATCGATAAAATTTAGATATACTGTGCGTTTCGTGGGTTTTTTCCACCTTTTCTTAAAGAGGTTTTTGAACCGTTGCTTATTTCTGTAGTTCACTGAAAGTTCTTAGTTGGTGGGCTGGTATTTAAATTGATTTCAATCTATAAACAGAGGTAAAACAGCTTTTAAATATCAATCCCTTTCAAACTTTTTACCGTTTCCTTCACATGGGTTCCGTTCCTGAAAAGTCGAAACAAACAAATGTCAACATGGACAAAACCATCATAACGTAATAAAGTTTATTAAAGGATATTAATCAATAAAGTTAGCAGTTTTATGTTTAATTAATCTAACCATCCCTTCAAAATCTGACCACAAATTAGTGTTAATTCAATAGTAAAGAATTACGCTATCATTAGAGGAGGGGCACTTGTCGAACCGTGACAAACTACCCTTGTTAGGGCTACACAGGTGGGCCGAAAGGTCCTAATAACCACCAGTACTAAGATAAAACAGGGGAGGGGCTCTTTACTCAACCAAACCATCTTGTCCAATATTTTACTCTGCATAATAGTTTACCTCACCGGTGGTCTTGACTCGATGAATGGTTAAAAATTTTCCTAAAACTTTAAGCCTCATTATTCCAAATCAACGTATACGTTCCGGACCATTAAAAGTTACTCAGGAGGAGATTATCTTCTCTCCCTTTAGCAGGACAAGATGGCCACACTAGTAGATATGTAATTGTATAAGACTTGAAAACGTTTTAAATGTCAACATTTATGTGTTTGTATATTTATATGTTAGGGTATTCTATTGTTATATTTCAATTGACCTACAGACAGTACTCATCCCTGTGTGTGTTATATCGATATCAAAGTCAGTTGGGCCTCAGCAACGTCATACAGAAACCTTACACCAGGATTACAGGTAGTTCGGGCACCTGCGTGGAATTGTTGACGTAAAAAGTACATCTGTGTGAAAAAACGATATAAACCTTATCATAAAATATGTTTACATTTCCAGTCTAGAAATAGCTGTGATTGAGCTACTTTAAGTACTGTATATTCATATATTTTTGTGGGTTTTCCAAAAAATGCTTTTTCGTGGATAAATCAAGACCAAAAATTTATACATATATATTAATATATACTTACTTTAACGGTTCGTGATTATATATAACTTCGCGGATTAAAGGTGCCTACGAAATCAATGATTTTACAGTACTTTTCCTTCTCAAAAATGAAATTCATATATATATTAATATCGCT